TGCGCTTCAAGGCTTTAGTATTATGATACAGTTTACTTATACTTAAACCTAAAACCTTAAATATATATACATAGTTGTGAACAATTTGATCAAAACCTGAACATTTATCTCATGAATTAAATAATGTACTAAATTTACCTTTTGTAAGTCAAGATCATTGTGGACATGTTTATAGAAGTCGAGTCAATATTATGATACTCGTAATATCCAGGACGCCACGTATTACCGAGTAATGTTAATATTTCCACACTTTACGATTCCTTCAATGAAAACCTAATTCACTTTGGTAACCACACAGGGCATTTACCGTAATGCCCACTCTGTAATTTGCGAAACATATTTTAAGTCGTAAAATAAACTCTGGAAACACTGTATCTAGCTGGGATGTATATAAATATATATATACATTCAAGGGCCTGGATTATAACCACAGGTAGCGAGGTATACTTTATGGCACGCTCTACAAAACACGACGTTCCTCCGAGGGCCAGTTGAGCGCTGTAGTAATCACAGGGATAATTTAGCATCAGCAAACTACAGGTGAGGAGGACTGAGGCGTTGAGGTGAGAAACCCACAAAAGATGGTGAAGAGCGACTCCCTACGACCACTACCAGGCCCTCACCATCATCATCATCCGGAGAGAAATATGTTTTTTTTTTCTCTCTCTCTCTCTCTCTCTCTCTCTCTCTCTCTCCTTACGTTCCGGATTATCTGATGCTGTCAAATTTAACGTTAATATACAGTAATCAGTTGTCTGGTAAGAGGGGCATCTTCAGATCAGATACCATCACTCGTCTCGCCCTCGAGAGGAGTACAAGGGGCATTAAATTCTACCACTGCATATGTTTAAAACAATTAAATGACCGGCCTGAAAAAATGAGAAGAGGCGACCCAAAATCAGTCGTTTATAAATGAGAGAGAGAGAGAGAGAGAGAGAGAGAGAGAGAGAGAGAGAGAGAGAGAGAGAGAGAGAGAGTTAGTTTTATAATTCTTCCTCAGTGTATTAATATAAAATAACTAAAATAATAGATATGAAGCAAACGTCTCAAAATCAGGAGGAGGAGGAGGGGGAGGATGGGAGCCAGTAACTAGATTCTGATTAATACAAGTGGTTGAAACGCGGCCAGAGGTGTGTGATTACGACGCCGCCCTGCAGCCTCCCTTGATTGCGCTAAAAACATCGATTAAACGCTTCATTATCAACGGTTGTGATGGCGCTGTACTTTACTCCTCTCGCCACTACTTTCTCCCTCACTCCAGTCACCACCATCTAAATACCACCTTCTCCTAGTGATCCATCCCTCACTCCTCTCACTACCACCTAGATACCACCTTCTCCTAGTGATCCATCCTTCACTCCTCTCAACACCACTTAGATACCACCTTCTCCTAGTGATCCATCCTTCACTCCTCTCACTACCGCCTAGATACCACCTTCTCCTAGTGATCCATCCTTCACTCCTCTCACTACCGCCTAGATACCACCTTCTCCTAGTGATCCATCCTTCTCTCCTCTCAACACCACTTAGATACCACCTTCTCCTAGTGATCCATCCTTCACTCCTCTCACTACCGCCTAGATACCACCTTCTCCTAGTGATCCATCCCTCACTCCCCTCACCACCTAATCTGAATAAACGATTCCATGGAGAGTTTAACCACAGTGATTACAGTGCGCTACCTCAGCCCTGCCTCGTAAGCTCCCTGAACGGACAATCCACCCTATACTTCAGCTCGAGTCGCAAAATGTTACGAAATCTTCCCCCTTCCTCCTTCCCCCTTCTCCCTCCCTCCCTCGTTGGAAATGATAGGGGAGAGGCTATCCTTTCACTCCCTCCACCTGCTAGCCAGAGTGTAATCACAGTGATCGAGCTCCGCCTTAACTATCTGCACCTGTTTGGAATTAAAAATAGCCGCGGTGGACTAGAGGCCAGCACCCCACGATTCACGAGCGGCGATCATACGTATTATAAAGGCGAGATGCACGGGTCCGCCTGTCGTAACCAGCTGTCGGGAGGCCCATCCATCAGCACTAAGACGTACGAGACGGTGGTCGTAACTTAAGTAATCACTCGCTATTACACCACAGGCGCCACCGGTAGGCACCGATCTCCCGGGATAAACCACCACCACCACTACTACTACCGCCGTCATCAAACAGACAGATAGACAGGGAAGCAGACACCTCGGTTTAATTACACACATAATTATATTGTTTGGTTGTTTTCCTGTCGTCTTGGTGTCGACGACGTGTACAAAACTCTTCCCTGTGGGACTTCATTTGACTAAGTCTCCTCCACTGTCTGTTGTTCCTCGCTTTTAATTTATCTCAACAGAAGGATAAGATGCTCTAATTATTGCTGATTATAACTATTCCTCTTCCTCCTTTTCTCTCCTCTTCCCGATGGTTATCTACTATTGATCACTTCTCCTCTTTCGCTTGTGTTGAGATTATGGGTGTAGCGTAGCTTGGGAATATTGATACCGGGTCGTAAAGTATTATCCGGTAGAGTCTCTCTCAGTACAATCCGCTCTCTATCTTACTCGTATCTCGCAATGAGTGTAATTTGTGTCTGCACCGACGCGGGGCTGTGGTGAGGATATAACAACTGATGGAAATACAGCTTCAGTAATAGAGCATTTCAGTAAGTATATACAGTACACCTCCCAGTTATTGTTCATATATACATGCAACTCACACACACACACACACACACACACACACACACACACACACACACATACATAATAATAATAATCAGATACTAAGTATGAATAGATTAATATACCTTTAATATATGGATCACTTGATCAGAGTTATGAGGTATATACAAATGCACCTTGATGATCAGCGGTGACCAGCGTGAAGAACGTAAGTTCCCCTGGTATGTCGCGTCCTAGCTAACACCTTTAACACCAGGTGCGGGACGAGCACGTGCTAGCTAACACCTGAATGGGATCGAGGGTGAACTAGTGCACACCTGAGTGGGAATCGAGGATGGGCTAGTTAACATCTGAATGGGGTCGAGGATGGGCTAGCTAACTCCTGAGTGGAATCGTAGAACACAAATATTATCCCACAATACGAGTACAGAGACGAGAGACGACGTCATTGTTAACTCGGCCAATGGGTCCAGTGGGGTTGGAGTCGTAATGTACACACTACTCCTAATGGGCCCCAGTCGACAGGCCCCAAAGTATGAATGGTTAAAGTAACGAAATAGTTTAGGGTTAAGAATACTGTAGGTACTAAAGGGTCCAATTCAGCACTTAACCTTTTCAATTATTCCTTCGTGACTATGTTCTATAGGTTTTGCGTTCTTATTCACCATTATATCAAAGGTTACCAGAACGAAAGTAACATAAAGATGAATTATAGTAGTCAGGCGTGAGGACCGTGTGAGTACAGGTCAGGGTGCAGACTACAGCAGTATCGCCTTTGAGAAGCATATTTGATGGAAGACGTGATCACCTTCTATGAATCCTAATAACCATTTGCATATTGCCAGTTTCTTCCTTTCAGTTGCGATTGTAAAACTAATTTCAGAATTATATCTACAGCTCGGGAGATTAGCTCAGCTTTTAAGGCTGATGAGTTAAGATTTATTTTATATTTTACTTTATTCTTTTAAAATTATAAAAGGTGTTTCGATTTGGTGGTCACATCAGACGAGAAAAGAACTGAAAGGAGAACGTAAATGATATGGTAATGTGAAGGTAATTGTTGGAGTTCTTCCGTTCTGGGCATATAAATCAGAGGCGGCGGCGAGGCGAACTTGTCGATCCTTCAGTAATAATTCATCTCATTCATCTTTTGATCCAAGGAGTCAGGAGGCGCCTTACTTCTGATTCGCCGAGAAGCCCCCAAGTAGCGGCCGTCTTTGATAATCAGTGATCACGAGATGAGCTTCCAACCTGTGCGATAACTCATTTTGGGCCACAGCTCATGATAACACCGCCAGTGATCACGGCCCATCGAGGGGCGCCATCAGGATCATCAAGTAGCCACAGAGAGAGAGACAGAATCCTGTTGGGAATAAATAAGGTGGAGTCCTAATCTATCATACTGAGTTATGACTGGTTGCGATGAATAACACTGAGATCTAATTGGTTGATGGCTCCAGGGACGAGTCTGAGTGCTATAATCTATAAAGAGTCTAGTGCATATATAGGTTAATAAGAAGTCAAATCTGGTGTTGCCATGAGGGTTAGTTCCGTGTGGGCGTGCTGACAGACATGGGCGTGACGGAGAGTTAGTGGGGGCGGTGCCACTCTAGAGCTTCAGTGTGTTAGTGGGCGGGGCCAAGGGGACCTCCACCACCACCCTCACCTCACTCTCTATATCGGCTCCTGCTAGGTCATCAGTCTGTGACGTAATAGGCTGATGACATCACAGGAACGTTTTCTAAGTGCTGACGGTGCTGCTGATTGGCTGATCTTTACTCTTTGAATTAATTTTTTTTAATATAATTTTTGTCAAAAAAAATTATTAGCATTTAAAAGTAGGATTTAAAAAGTCAGGGAAGTGTCAGGACTTTACTGATTCATTTATGGTTATTACATAATTTTTTGAAGCTCAAAAATGGAAATTAATAAAAAAGAGGAAGCTGAACAATTCGGCAGCGGGAGAGTCAGTTAGGTAAGTGTCGATCACCTGATCTGTCGGCAGGTACACAGGTGTTGAAGGAGTGCCAGCTAATTGCTGATATTACTCTCGCTCTCACACCTGAGTCTGCGAATGACAGGTGGAGTGACGCTGACATAACAAGATCACCGTTAACATGAACTGGCTTTTGACGCCGAAAAACTTTCCCCGACGTGTCCTAATCTTGAAGTTAATCCGACACTGACTTGGCTTAGAAGCACTTCATTTCCTAGACAGCAATCAAGACACGAGCAGCGTGAGAAGCCGTAGAGGCGGCATCAGTCAACAGCGCCAGCAGCAGGTAGAGGAGGGAGGGGGATAGCGGGCACCCCATAAGATATGGTCGGGTCTTACCGGCGGAGGAGCGCGGCTTGGACTTTGGCTTGTCGTGGCAGAGCGCCTTGTTGAAGTGTGAGGAGGGCGGGTAGTAGGGGTTGGGGAACTCTGACCCCCCGCCCAGGGAGCCCGGGTATGGGGGGTAGGAGGGGAGGAGGGGCGTGGCTGAGGCCTCCCCACCGCCTCCGCTCACCCCCGGGGTGGAGGAAAAGCCCGCACCTTCACGCCCACTCTTGTTGGCACAGGCGCCCAGGGGGGACAGCATGGGCGCGCTCTTCAGGTCTGAACCGTCGCCGCCCCCGCCCATGGAGTAATCGGAGACTGGTCCGCCGCCCCCCGCGCTGCCCGCCATCGTCTCGTCCTTGGTGAAGGCGGACGCAAAGAGGCCTGAAGACGCGTAGGAGTAAGAGTTGGAGTGTGGCGCGGGAGATGTGGAGGAATGGGCGTGGCCGTAATGTGTCGGTTTGGAGAAGGGCGAGTGCCAGGAGGGAGAAGAGCCGCCCACCATGCTCTTATCACCGCCCAACCACGGGTGGAGCGGCGAAGCGAAGTGCGGCCGGAACACCTGACTGGAACCCATCCGTGCTGCGGGGAGAGACAGGCAGTGAGTGAGGCGGACACCGGTAGGAGGCAACGAACCAACTTATCATAATCTAATAAACATGATGAACAAGAAAAGAGATAAATAGGAGAAAATAAAACACGATTTATAACAACAATAATAATAAATAACTTAAAAAATCAAGGCAGTAGTTTCAATATAATAACACTATCAAAATCCAAATTCATAAGGAGAAAAGATTACAGTAGACGATATAGTGTTCCTTCCCCCACCCTCCTCGATAGTTCCCTGGGGCTGAGGGTGTTAAGCGTGTTAGTGTATGGGGATGGACCACACTGAGGGTAAGCTTAATCATCGTTCAGAAGACTAACGAGGGATTGGTTATTGAGGGGTTGGTTATTGGTTGAGGGATTGGTTATTGGTCGAGGGATTGGTTATTGGTCGAGGGATTGGTTATTGGTCGAGGGATTGGTTATTGGTTGTGTTAAACTAGACTTGAAAAAACAAATTCCCGTGTAAAATAACATTCTCAATCAGATTCGGTTAGGTTAGCTTAGCTTAGGTTAGGGGAGTATATTGTATTAACTCAGTGCAGTTAAAAAGAGGTTCTGACAAAGTTGAGGCTCATGGTAGGTTTAACATGTGGTCGTCAACTCTGAACTCTAGTTGATACGCACCACAGCCTAAGTCTAGTTTTCATCTGCATAAGAAGAGAGATTTTAAACATTAACCTGACGAAGAAGACAAATATATTCCTCGGTCATAATTCGCACTGCAAAAGGTCAAGGCTTCATAACTCTCGTGCCAAGTTATATACATTCTCTTAAACCATAAACCTGTAGGAAAGTAAAGTTATATAGAATAGAAGACGTAAGCTTAATCTTTTGACCGTGTGTGTGTGTGTATCAGAGGAGGTAGCATGTAATGATGGAAACATTTAATGTCGGCAGTGAAGAACTAGATGAATATTGCTACACTCGCATCATATTACATTAATATATACTTTATAATGCTACATGAAGAGGTGCTTCATTGAAACGTCTGAAAACACTCGTCACAGTAACAAATTAATAGATATTCAGCACCGACACTGCGACTTTACTCTCCGTGGGCTGATGTGAATAGTATACATGAAGACAAGGTCCTTCTTCGGTACAACAAGGAGGCACTGTTCCCCATACTGCACTCGACTACCTACACTTTCCCCAACTGTAAAGTTAAGTCCTCAGACACAGCCGGAGGGACAGGGGTTCCCTTAGGTGTGAACCAGCAACCTTTGGGACAAGAGGCGACTGTTGTACCCGCTCGGCCCCATATACCAATTTGAAGTCTTTGAAGACAGTCAGTGTTTTGAGTTAGGGGCCAGGTATCGGGGATCAGGGGCCAAGAATCACGGGCCAGGTGTCAGGGGCCAAAGGTCAGAGGTCAGGGAGAGTGCAAAAGACATTAAGGATGACCTAAGATGGCTGACAGATGAAGAAGAGGTAAAGATTTGGGTGATAAGTCATGATGACGGGTTGAGGTCAAGGTTGAGCATTTTGGGTCACAGGTCAGTGTCAGGTCCTGAGGTTTAAGATGTACTGTACACCTGTGGTCAAATCAGGTCAAGAACTCGGCAGCCAACCAACAAACAGAACGTATGTGAAGCCTTGAACATATTGATTCTGAGGAGATCACGTTAAATAACATCAAATTATATGTGCACATTTACTTAACTCCTAAAAGGCAATGTGCGTAACTAAAACATGCGGGAAACATAATTGATGTGTAAATTTACATAATTCATGAGCAGAAAGGCACATGATATTCAGATGCAAATGCAAGTAACTCATAAAGAATGTGCATATTAACTCCGAAATTGGAATTTACATAACTTGTACACGCAAATGCACGTGCTTATAAGATACGAATTTACAAATTAATTGATGCACTTTACTTATTAAGTAAAAGTTATGCATACACACACACACACACGCACATTATATATATATATATATATATATATATATATATATATATATATATATATATATATATATATATATATATATATATATATATATATATATATATATATATATATATATACAACAACACCGAACCGAAAATATATATATCACTAAATTGCACTTGACAACATTATTATAAAATAAATTTACGAAAATATACCAACAACACGTCCCGCAGTGGCAGTGTAAAAAAGCTAAAATTTGGAAGTTTTTAAAACTCTGCGAAAATGACCGACAACAACAACAACACTAAAAATCATTTCCCCAAAATCACTTAACATTTATTTCATTTAGCGCCACAAATACTATAAGAATATATATATATATATATATATATATATATATATATATATATATATATATATATATATATATATATATATATATATATATATATATATATATATATATAAACAAACTTGACTTTCCAATTTGAGTTAAATAGATAAGAATTTATTAAATCAATTCATCAAGATGGTCCAATAAAAATTGCTATATTGAGACTTACAAGTTAAAAAATACACGGCCATGAGAGTAGATGATGCACCATTTCATTAAATTCAATTAGTTCACGTCGTGCCTGAGGCTGTCATAAATTACAATAAATGTAATTATATGATAACTTTATGAAATAAACGCCACACTCGTCAGCTGCATGACGGCTGGGAATGTTATCGCTATGGTCGACCCTTTTCAAAAAAATTGGCGTTGCAATTTCGCGGTTTTCGGCCGGCCGTAAGTCAACCATGGAGTCGTGTGTGTGTGTGTGTGTGTGTGTGTGTGTGTGTGCGAGTGTGCAGTGTGTGCAGTGTGTATGTGTGTGTGTGTATCTATCTAAGTTTATGCGTGTGAATTCACGTGTGTGTGTGTGTGTGTGTGTGTGTGTGTGTGTGTGTGTGTGTGTGTGTGTGTGTGTGTGTGTGTGTGTGTGTGTGTGTGTGTGTATCTAAGTTTATGCGTGTGAATTTACGTGTGTGTGTGTGTGTATGTATTTTGAGTGTGTGTGTGTGTGCGCCTCACTAATAAATCCTCGTCATTATCGCCAACAGGGATCAGGGAAGTAAATCATCATCGTGCGTACTTAATAAATGATTGTGATATCAGCCAACACTACATCATGATCCAACTACGTGAGAAATTGGACAACCTTTTGTTTAGGGATTTTTTTTTTTCACATGGTTGTTTTGTGGGATTATCTGAAGAGGTGGATTAATGGGCGTATGGGGAATTATTTGTTCTTCCTTGTTTTTGAGAGAACTTACGTGTCTTAAGCGGAAATTGTAGATGGAAAAATTTTTCAATGGAATTTATGAGGAATTGTGTGTAATCGGGGAATTTTTATATATTTTTATTATTGTTTTGGTATTTTCATAGACAGCTACATACACACAACACACACACGTGTTATATATCGTTTTGCGAACTTAAGAAGGGCCGTTTAAAATACAGGGAAAAATTTAATATTCAATGGCATATTACAGGCAGTTGAGTAGAGTTGCCTTTAAATTTGTGTAAAGGTGTGTGTGTGTGTGTGTGTGTAAGTGTATATATTAGTGCACATTGTTGGTTTATTTGGGAAATGGTGTGATTGAATGGCAGCTGTTGCTTATATGAGGAAATTGTGTATATATACGCGTGCACATATATTTGGAGAAATTTCCTCGCCGCTGTGAGTGAATTCTACAACAGTGTGTAAACTTACAATACATTTTGAATTAAATATTTTCCGGTCTCACAAAGATGTTCATGAATACAGCTGTTACCTGCCTCATAAATATAGATATTGACGGTGGACGAGTGACCATTTGACTCAAAATAACAAAATGACGTCGATGGTTTGAGAATTTTATCCCCTTGTGTTTTGATTACAAGTGTTCAAGACGTGGGGTAGTTTTGGTGAATAATGAAACTAAAGACACACACACACACACACACACACACACACACACGCGCACACACACACACACACACACACACACGCTAAGACCTGTTGTATATTTTTTTGTTCGGGAGTGGACGATGGTCGCTTGAGTCCTGCTTGAGTTAAGATGACGGTTTAGTATAGGTGTAATCTTAGTTCCCTGTCTATGTCTTTCTACCTATGTTTATATGTCTGTCTAGATTTTCTTTCTCCTCCTCTGTCTGTATTATTCTGTCTGTGTCTATGTAGTGTACATGTCTCTCATGTTGCTTCTCTCACTTTTTTTTACCTGTCAATTATTATTTTATCCCATATTCTCTGAGTGTCACTCTCCTTCTATGTGCCTCTCCCTCCTTTCCTTCTCTCTTTTCCTTCCCTTTTTAATCATTCTTTGTTTGTTCTCTCCTTTTCACCCCCTTCCTTTTCTCTGTTTACCCCTCATTATCTCTCTCTCTCTCTCTCTCTCTCTCTCTCTCACCGTCAGTGTGGGGGATAATCAGGCAGTAAGTGATGGCCTCGTGAGGGAGTATCAAGGCTCACTGCACCACCAACTCCTCTGTATCCATCAATTGTTTATCGGTTCCCATCATAGACACGCTGGCTTTCACCTCCCATGGCTAAATTAATTTTTCGAGAAGTGACACACGGATCTGATTTCCCTTGGTATTCTCTTCCATCCCTTCCTCCTCCTCCTTTTCCTTCCCCTCCTCTTCTTGCTTCACCATCTTTTCTTCTCCTCCTCCTCCTATATGACACCACCCTCATGACCCTACCCTCTCTTCCCCTCTCTCACCACCACCTCTCCTCACCACCAACCACCACCTCTCTTCCTCCTCACTAACCACCACCTCTTTCCCCTCCTCACCAACCACCCCCCTCTTCCTCTCCTCTCACCACCCCACCCTTCTCCCTCCTCCACCCCCTAACCCACCATTTGCTCCCAGGAATTAATTTGAACTCGCTGTTTAAAAAAAAATAGTAAATGAAGATAAATGAATTAATAAATAAGAACTAGTAATGATTAGGGTACGAATTAACAGGAAGTAGAAATATTTATATAAGAATAAATGAATAGATATGAGAAGGGGAATTA